CAGGGGAGCGCCCCCCCCCCCCCCCCCCCTGCCGCACCTCGAGTTACGGGGGAAAGTGATAAATATATATAAAGTAACCCGTGAGATGGATGTTGACACTTCAAAGACATTAAAGGCGCTCCGCAGCAACAACTTGAGGAAGACATGGCGGGAGCCGAGATGAAAGGCTACGGCGGAGCACGCCGAGGGTTGGTTGTGCTTCCCGGTGAGAGCCGTGCGAGACTGAGCCACAAGGACGACAATCTAATATTGGGAGATCTGAGGGAACGGACCATCTGAAAACTTCACCGGCCTCGCGGTTTTGGAAAACGTTTATCATTACGCAGCCGCAGCGGTGAAAGGGAATCATAGTAGAAGCCGGTCTACACTCTGATATAAAGAAACCATCGCCATTGAAGTAGAAGTAACCGCGATCACTAAAATACCACATGAGCGTCAATATATTCACGTCATTGCAGAAGTAACCGTCATTGATTTCTTATACCTGCAGCTTCCATCATAATAATCCCTGGTGATCCTTCCATGAAGAAACTTGTCCAGGCGCATCCTGTTATAGGGTGACAACGCTCTGTCTCCCAGTTGTGCTCTTGCATTGACAAAGACTTACAAAGCCATTCACAACTCTGCCCCCGGCTGTATCTCAAACCTTGTCTCAAAGTATCAGCCTAACCGTCCCCTCCGCTCTTCAAAAGACCTCCTGCTTTCCAGCTCCCTCGTCAACTCCTCCCATGCTCGCCTCCAGGACTTCACTAGAGTCTCTCCCATCCTATGGAACTCTTTACCCCAACCTATCTCCCACTCTGACTGCCTTTAGGCGATCCCTAAAGACTCATCTCTTCAGGGAAGCCTATCCCACATCAACCTAAACACTCAACCATCACGTTCTCAAACAATTCATCCCAACACAGCTACCTCCTCATGTATCACTGGCCCCTCCCTTTTAGATTGTAAGCCCTCAGGAGCAGGGCCCTCCTTACCATCTTGTCCGGAATTGTATTGTGATTGTAATGTCTTCCTTATATTGTAAAGCGCTGCGCAAACTGTCGGCGCCATATAAATCCTGTATAATAATAATAATTGTATTGCCACCTTGTCACAGGGCTTTCAGTGGAGGCTGCAAGTGGCTGTTTCAACCCTCATTACACAGGTATGGTCTACCGTTGTCACCATCAGAAAACCCGCCCTGAGAAATCTTTTGCAGCCATGACAACCAGCGTGTCAGTGAACAATAGAGCATTGTAGTCTTTGCTTGTTTTCAATTCTAAAACAACATTAAATGGTGCACGCACAAAACATGTCTGGCCCAGTGGCGTAACAATCACCATAGCGACCCAGGCGGCTGCTAACCCCAATGTACACAACGTCAGACCTCGGATCAGCCCCAGTGTATGCACTTCCAATCTCAGATCGGCCCCCCTGAATGCATTTACACATCAGACCAACGCAATGCATGCCCTTCAGACCTCAGATCAGCTTCCAATGCATTCATATTAAACCTCAGACCAGCCCCAATGCAGCCCCACTTCAGACCTAAACCTGATGTAGGCGTGCGGGTTTCTTTCGCACATTCCGCCTGGTTATTAGTGTCAGGGCGGTTGGTGGGCCAGGCTTTGTGATTCAGCCAATGGCAGTGGGTACCAGTTCAAACAGCATTGCGTGCTCATGAGGAAATGCATGCCGGGGGTTGCTGACATTGGCATGGGACAATGATTGCAAGGAAGTTTGGAGAATCAAGGTGCAGGAACTGGGGATGAACTGAGGGATGACGGTGCAGGAATTGGGGTGATCTGAGAGGTGAAGGTGCAGGAATTGGGGTGATCTGAGAGGTGAAGGTGCAGGAATTGGGGTGATCTGAGGGGTGAAGGTGCAGGAATTGGGGTGATCTGAGGGGTGAAGGTGCAGGAATTGGTGTAATCTGAGGGAGGAAGGTGCAGGATTTGGGGTGATCTGAGGTGTGAAGGTGCAGGAATATGAAGGGTGAAGGTGCAGGAATTGGGGCTGACCTGAGGACAATGAAGGAAGACATTCACAACACCTGCAATACTTCAGTCAGCCTCACGAAAAATTTAATTTATGGGGAAACAGTAAGGAGCATTTTGGAAACCACCCCCCCGCCTATCACCTTCATTGGCCTAGACTGACAAAGGAGTCACACGGTCTCCGAAACACTCCTTACCATTTTTCTGTGCCTTAAAGTATACCGTATCCAAAGCCAAAACAGTAATTTAATTATAGCAGGAATTCCCCTGCAGATGGCAACTTAGTCCCAGTGAAGAGACAACATGGACACCCATCGGTGCACTACTTACTGTACATACTTAGCACACATTGCCACTCTGCTAAATACAGAACATTCACTCAGTTTCCCCAAATGTGAGTTCTCTATAATGCAGCTAGAATCCAAAGAGCACCTCAGGGGGTCACTGGGAGTGTTACTTCCTAAAGCCTAAACAATATTACTTGTCGTTTGCATCCTTTATCACCAGTCCCGCACCCAAGGCATACTGGAAGCTAATTGATGGCTGTGAGAAAGTTCTTACATCAGCCTTTCTGTATGTGGGAGGCAGTGAGGAGTCCGGAATGGGGGGCGTGTTTGGAAATGTCCCTCCTGCATCACAAGCCGGGGTTCCCAGATCACCAAAATACTGACAGCAGGGAGTGGGGTGGGGTGGGCTGGAGAACTACAGCCAAGGTGAAGCCCTGTGTGGTTGGACTGTTTTCCCTCAATGTATCTCAAGGTCATATTTTCGGTGTTTACTGGAGTGGACCATTAATTTTGGTAACTGCTGTATTGACCCACCTGGCATTCGGCCGCAGAGGGTCCCGTCCCTTTCTCCATGTGATGGCTGGTTTGGGAGACGCTCTTGGTTTGCACTCAATGAGAACGAATCCTCCCACTTTTCCCAGGGTCACTCTTCTGACGAACACACCGGAGAAATCGGGGCCGACCGCTACAAGAAGAGGAAAATTATCCGACTTTTAAAACCGTTTAAAGAGGACCTGTCCCTTCCACTTCATCGGTCGCTTTAATTTTGGTCATCAAACCTTCTTATATACCTCATGTGACACAAACAGCTACTTGCAGTTGGCCTGACTCTGTTGAGACAATAAGATGCTCATCAGACTCTCCCCTCCTCCCCCTCCCTGGCTACTTTCTCTCAGTAGGGTGGAAATGGTGGTCTGCTTTTGGCTCTGGTATACTTGCATCCACAGGGACTGATATACAGTTTCTCAAAGGTGCAAGTACCTTTTTTCTGCGATACACGACCCGTGTTCAGAAGCACGGGCGGAATCCCGGCAGGTGGAAACCGCGCGATCCGCCCGGCATGACTGGGTGCCATTGGAAAATAATGGCACCCACAGCGCGATCGGTGCACACCTATACGACTCCTGAACGTTCGGCAATCCGCGCGGCATCGTGCATGATTGCCGCGCGGTCGCATAGGTGTGCACCGGCCCTCAGGGTGATTGCTGTTCCTATAGATGGATACCTGGAGAATCGATGACCAGGAAGTTCTAACACCAGAAAATGGCGTCTGAAGTGCTGAATCTGATGGTTATTTGTGTGTAAATGAAAGTGCGACTGTTAGAGTTCTATTATTATCCTCTGGTAACCCAGAAGTTGGTGAATGAGCTGTGGATAGACGGCATTATATACAAGCACGGTGTTGTATATATGTGTGAACCGATCAGGAAATGCCAGATGGGCACAGGTAGAGGACCCGCTGGAGCAAACCCGGCCCCCAGCCCTGCTAATAAAGGAAGCTTTCATCTTCAGCGGCCCAGGCTGGAAAAACTCCGGAGGCATCCCCGCCGAGATACAAACTCACCGATAACCCTCAGCTCGGCGCTGGAGTAAATGGTTCCGTGTTTATTTTCGGCCAGGCACTGATACATTCCGGAATCTGAGCTGTTCACGGACGTGATGGTCAGGCCTCCGTGCTCAATCTGGAGGCGTCCCTAGGGGAATAAGACAGAGGAAAGAGTAAGAGAACACAAAGGGAGAACACTTCAATAGACGGGGATAGAAAGCAAAACCTGGAGCAGCCGACTAGGAAAAACATCGGAAACCCCTAAAAATGGCCCAAAAATGGCCAAGAAACGGACCAGCAAGTATTTTTTTTTATTATTGCTGTTTGAAACAATTGCAACCCCACAGATGGAAGTGAAGTGACAGGAAGAGCTTAAAGTTTTATTGTAATATGAACGTTATCAATTTAAAGTGGAGCACTAGCCAAATCTTTTGGGGAGATAGTCCCTCACTGCCTGTCCTGTTGACCACACGGGAAGTGAAGGACCCTTCACAGCACTGACATGAATAGCAAAGTAAATGTTCATTTAGGTTAGTAGATGCGTTAACCGTAAAGGCCAACTCCGTCCACAGCAAAAATACAGATGAAACTCGAATAATTAGAATATCGTGCAAAGTTGATTAATTTCACTAATGCAACTTAAAAGGTGAAACTAATATATGAGAGAGACTCATTACATGCAAAGCAAGATAATTCAAGCCGTGATTTGTCATAATTGTGATGATTATGGCTTACAGCTCATGGAAACCCCAAGAACCCCAAATCCACAACCTCAAAAAAGTAGATTATTACATGCAATCAATAAAACAAGGATTGTACATAGAACAATATCGGACCTCTGAAAAGTACAAGCATGCAAATGTACTCAGTACTAGGTTTGGGCCCCTTTTGCAGCACTTACTGCAATTACTTTTGCACGATATTATAATTATTCGAGTTTCACCTGTACCTGCAATCAGTTTTAAAAGTCTGTCCGGCAGTAGCTGTGCAGTACTTTCATTCCAGTATCTCCACCAATCTCTATAGAAGATACTGAGTGCAGCACCTCTACCCGTTTCCTTGATATCCAGCACTTCCTCATGCACCGTCATGAACACACCCACCGGGAGAATGATGTCATCATGTCATCCATGCTAGGAAAGAATGTTACTGTGTGTGGGCACACAATGGCCGCCCATTATTTCTTGTATATTTCTTGTTTCTTTTTCAGCTTCCTGTGTCATCTTTCCCCCACCGTTAATGAGTGCACATTGCAGTCCCAACTTATTGCACGTCTCTTTTGCACATTAACTGCGCCCCAAGTCCTTACCTTGCTCTGAAGCCGCTGCCCGTTCTTCAGCCAGGTATAGGTCGGCTTCGGTCGCCCGCTGGCTTTACATTCCAGTAAAATGTTTTCTTCTATTGCAATGTGGGCATCATTAATCTTCTGGACCCAGCTTGGAGGAGCTGCAAACAGGATGATCAGATTTAGATTGGTTACAGATATGATTTCCAACCCACCCTTGCATTAGCAATTGTTCATAAGCCACACCCCCTTCCTCCCCCCCTTCCCCCCCCAAAAAAAACACTCCCAGATTTGGCCTATTAGGTGCAAGGATAATCCATTTCCACCTGATACTTTTTGTTTTAGGCTAATGTATTGATTTTTTGTTTTAAAATATAAATCCGTGAATCCATGAAAAAGGGAAGGTCTGCTTCCCTGCCAAGCCCTGCCAGCCTTCACCTGCCACCCAAACCAAATTCACAGATACAAAGTAGTAAAAATAAAGATTTTATCCCTGTTCCGGCTTTTGGGAGGTATGGGAGATGTCATCGTACCACACCGCTGCCTTCTAGGTTAGCTGGGCACTTATCCTATGAGAATGCATTGCAGCCTATTGCAGGAAAGCATTCTAGTGGGATTTTGAGTTGCCAGGGGGGCAGAAGAGCGGGGCGGTGCCTCCCAGAAGCCAGGACGAGATTATTTTTATTTGAATTTGTTTCTTTTTATAGTTCTATGTACTGCTTTTTTATATAGGTGTTGGTGGGCTTCCAGGGAAGCAGACCTTCCTTTTGCACGGAAGGTCCACTTTAATGCTTACAAATGATTTCTGGAAATCATAAAAACAGTTAACATCCATAAATAATACGTTGCAGACATCGGGGGTTAACCCATTCTACAATGATATCATATGCCCAGAAGAGAGATATGCAAATTACAATGATCATGTTCAAATTGAATCACATTTAATGGATTTGGGGTCAACTGAACATCTGGGGCTTCAGGCAGACAATAGCCTCTTAACATTTTAGGAATTCTTAAGAAGTTTGGTGGAGAAGCTCCGAGCTGAGACCCGAGGATGATTCTTCCTACGGCCAACTGTACTAAGCAGTTATAGGATGCTGGGAAATGTTTATAACCCTGATTGCGTCCATTTAAAGAGATAACCAACACAGACACTCGGATCAAAAGACCAAGCCACTTCGCCTTCTACTATTTTCATCTTCTGGATGCCGCCAGATATTTGTGGCCGAATCTAATGTTACCAGAATCTGGGTTAACCCATTTTACAAATGATATCATAGCCCTAGAGGTGAGAAATGGAAAACACAATGACCATGGTCAAATGGAATCACATTTAATTAGGGCTGTGCAAATTAACGATTAATTTCTCGATTAATCGTGAATCTTTTTGATCGATTACATTTTTTAAAAATCTTTCTGCATGAGTGCCAGCCAAGACATTGGCCTATACACATACAGCACAGCAATGAAGTAATAAAATGAACTAGGATCACACTCATCCAGCACGTTATTATTCTGAGTTGCCCCACTCAAGCGGCGGCCATATTGAGTGGGGCACGTGAGATTAATAACGTGTTGGATTAGTGTGATCCTAGTTCATTTTATGACTTCATTGCTTTGCAGTATGTGTATAGACTAATGTAGTTGGATCTGTATGTGCGTTATAATTAATCAAAATTAATCGATTACATTTTTTTTCGATTAATCGAACATGAAAATTGTAATCAGTAACAGCCCTACATTTAATGGATTTGTGGTCAGACTAAACATTTGGGGCTTCAGACAGACAACGGCCTCTTAACATTGTATGAACTCTTAAGAAGTTTGGTGGAGAAGGTCCAAGCCAAGACCCGAGGATGACTCTTCCTATGGCCACTTGTATTAATCAGTTACGGAATGTTGGGAAATGTTTTCAACCCTGATTGTATCCATTTGATGGGATAACTAACACAGACACTTAGATCAGAAGACCAAGCTGTTTCTCCGTCAACTATTTTCATCTTCTGGACGCCTCCAGATATTTGTGGCTGAATTCTATAAGTTACCAACATGTAGGTTAAATTATTATTATAAATAGTATAACAGCGCTAGACGTGAGAAATGGAAAATACCATGACTATGGTCAAAGGGAATCACATTTAATGGATATGTGGTCAGACTAAACATTTGGAGCTTCAGGCAGACAACGGCCTCTTAACATTTAATGAACTCTTAAGAAGTTTGGTGGAGAAGGTCCAAGCCAAGACCCGAGGATGACTCTTCTTGCGGACAATTGTATTAATCAGTTATGGGATGTTGGGAAATGTCAACCATTATTGTGTCCAACCAACACAAACACACAGATGAGAAGACCAATGTACTTTTTCTGTCTTCTGTTTTCATCTTCTGGCCACCTCCAGATATTTTTGGCTAAAGTCAATAAAGAGTTTCTAAAACGAACAGAGTTATTCATAAAAGGGGGATGAGTTTGGAGAAGGCTGGAGAAGGCAACAATCTAGGACAACATAGCTGAACTGTATAGTGAGCTGAATTGGAGAATATTTCCAAATCTATTTTGGCCTAGATTGTTCACTTCTCCGGCCTTCTCCAAACTCTTCACCCTTTTGTGAATAACCCTGTAAAACGTTGTTCTTCAGTTCTGGATAGAGTGTGGAAGTATTAATACCTCTGTCAGGTTTGTATTGCTGGCTGTGTGCATTCTGGGGGTTTCACATTCTCTTTGTGTCCTGGTGACCATTGTCTAAGAGGTGATTTCGCTCACGTTAAAGAGATTTTCCTAATGTGACACAGATGGAAAAAACTAAATCTGTCGGGTGAACTCCAGCCTTCAGCCTAGCATAGTTGTGTCAGCTCCTCTCCTGAATTGCATATCCTGTATGCATTGCTTAGAGAAGCACAACAGGGACCCAGGGGATGACATCACGGGTCTAAAATAATATGTCTAATAAAACTGAAAAGGTTTTATCTAAAATTGTTGGGAACCAGGGAAGGCAAAATATAAGCAGATTAAACCTCGGCTTTGGTCAGTTCCTACTCTTTTGTTTTAGATTGGATTGTTTGGATTCACACCTATCTATGTGCATTTTCATGCATTTGTTTATTGCGCATCTGTAACACACATTGACTAGTGTTTCATGCATTGATATTGTCTTCAGTAGGCCCTTAATGCATATAAAATGGACAAATGTATTTGGCCAACAAGCATCACAAACATGTGAACTAGCTGAACTGTGCATTAAAGGAGAACTATGAGGCAAGTGATTTTCACTCACCCTCATAGTTCGGGCCGACGTGTGGCAATGAAACTGTCACGCATCGGCTCAATAGATCGGGAAGTGAGCGAACACATACCGTCGCTCGCTCACTTCTCGATCATATCCCTGCAGAGAGCCGTGACTGTCACTCACGGCTCCCTGCAGGGATTCCCCCCCTCCCCGCTCGATCCTTCAGCGCTGACTGGCGTAACGGACGGGGGAGGGGGCGGGTACAGCTGGCTCTGCCTCTAGATAGGCAGAGCCAGCTGTGTGTTTCAAAAAGCTGGGTGGATCTCGACAGTAATGTCGGGATCTGTCCTGGCTGCGGCGGTCTCAGTATACCGCGAGCTGTGGCTGGCGGTATACTTAGCTTTGGGTCACGGGAGGACGCTAGTTTATGTCCTCCCGTGACTCTTAGGAGAACTATGGGGAAAAAAACTTACCCCATAGTTCTCCTTTAATGGGTAAATGGACCCTAAGAGAGCTGCAGGCAGAAGTGGGTGCAGGGGATGCAGAGGGGAGGCACAGAGCACCTCATAGTCCAGGAAAAGAAAATTTGGGACAACTTTTCTGAGACGGGCGTGGGTAACTTGGACATCATCTGTCGCCCATTTACAATGCCGCTTTAACATCTTCACTGCAATAAATTTCACAACAATTCACACCTTCGGCCATGTATGTAACACAAACAATTAACACCCGTCTCAGACTCCATGGCACCGCAGTGATTGGATTAAGCTAATTAGAAGAGGGTACTTCACACCTCCATCTGCCTTGATACATTTCCAAATAACACGGTAATTGGAATAACATTTCACTGTCACTGACGTCAGGGTTACAGTGGAGAAGAACTTCTTGCAGCACCCCGTGTCAGTAACCCTTAAACCAGCGACATTCTTATGGTTGCTACAGCAGAGCAGTAGGTGTGACTAGTGGCTTCACACCTATGTGCTGTGCTCGGCTGCGTTGCGTTATGTTGCCTGCATTGTGTTAAGTCAGCCTGTTAATTCTGAACTGGCTGCCAATGCACTACAACACACCAATGCACCCAAAAACACACATCTAGGGGTCAGTTATGCCCCTTTTAACTCCAGTCTAATGTGCTGCAGTACATTACTGCATACGTGTTAAAGAGATGAAGTCAATTTACCAATTTAGAGTTCAGCAGCTAGAACCGAGTACTGTCACATGGGTGTAAGTCCCATGCTCCCCTATATCTGAATGTAGCAGGTATGCTTTGCCAGCTAAGATAGGGGCAGGCAATCAGTTGGACGGGTGGATACCCCCCTCTGTAACCGACCAACTGATCGCCTGCTTCTAGCATAGCTGGAAAAGCGTCCCAGCTACTTTCAGATACAGGAAGCATTGGACCTTAACCCATGAGACAGTACCCAGTTCTGGCAGCCAATCCCTAGGCCCTAACACTGTGACATGATGGAGGGGTGACATCACCATTCACTCTAGGCACAGACACCAGCCAACACTGGGTATGTTGATGGTGGCTGTGATGGAGGAGGGAGCAATGGGGATTTGCCCTTTTACAGGCACTGTAACTTTGCCTTGAATGAGCAGAGTGATAATGTCTTCTTAGCATGTGTTATTGTGTGTGTTAATGTTCATTACACAACAACACAGACCATTCCTTTAAATGGGGTGCCATCAAACCACGATGCACAGAAAATCAGACATGAATAAAACCTTTCACGGAAAAAAGATTCATCATGGATGGCCCATAACTCCATCTGAGCCAAGGAAAAGTGTAAAGAGGAAAACCGCTTTTGTTGCTTTAAAAAAATTACTACTACGATTCATCAAGGAGCATGACGATCCTGATCCAGTACTTCCTTCTTTATTTTCTGTCTGTGTTAGGCTTGGGAGACTTCCATTGACTTCCTGTCCTGAAGTTGCAACAGGAAGTGAGGAGAATTCCTATCTTGGGCAGTTGTTTCCAGAACAGGTGTATCTATTTCGAAGATTTGCCCTCAGCTCTGCTTCTGGTACCAACTTTACAATTTTGGATTTCCCATAATTTTCTACATCTGTAACAGTGGACACCAGGGCAAGTAGAGAGGGTCAACATCTGCAGTGGGGACCCAGACAGTAAGAAAAAATGGACAGGGTTTCTATTCCTTCCCTACTATATCCATACAATTTAAGGCATTCACATTTACTACGGTGCAGAACTGGTAAATGTCCCCCTTACAGTAGCCAAATTCTACCATCATGTCCTAATCATACCAAAATATGTGAGCTGCCCTCGCACCATGTTCTTCCCCCGTGTATTCTCGGCAACGCATTCGTAAGGTCCGGCGTCTTCTTGCTGGAAGTTGGGGATCTCCAATACCCCGCTGGAGCGGTGCCGCCTTACTTTTCGAGATATGCTTTTGCCGTCTGCCCTCCTCCAGGTGATGGTGGGGACTGGGCTGCAATGAAGAGAATTCGCAGATCATGACAGGTGCCATAGGCCTAAAATCTACTAGAGATGCAAACATCAACAAAATCATCATCAGACTCCGTGTGTGAATATAGTCTTACTGCGGGAAAAATTTACATTTTGTTATCCAGAACTACTGTATATATATGAAAGTTTCTGGATATGAAAGTGTTGTGGAGTTAGCCTAATATAGCTTCTGCTTCAAGAGAAAAAAAAAAAGAGAGACAGGAGAGAGTGAGGGAGGAAAGAGAGAGTGTAAGGTGTAAATGTTTTTCAAAAATAAACAAAAGGAGGGAGCTGATAAAGAAAAATAATGATTATATGCTCTACTAATGATTAAAGGAGAACTTTAATCCCCATAGGAGAGCTTTTCCCCATAGTTCTCCTTAGGGTAACGGGAGGACACAAACTAGCGTCCTCCCGTCACCCTAAGCTCAGTATATAGGGAGCTACAGCTCGCGGTATACTGAGACGCCGCAGCCGGAGCGGATCCCGACCTCGACGTCGAGATCCGCCCAGCTGCGTGAGTGACAGCTGGCTCTGCCTATCTAGAGGCAGAGCCAGCTGTACCCGCCCCCTCCCCCGTCCATTCCGCCAGTCAGCGCTGGAGGATCGGAGCGGGGAGGGGGGAATCCAGCCCCTCCTCTGTCACGGCAGAGACAGGATTGAGAAGTGAGCGAACGCCGGTATGTGTTCGCTCACCTCCCGATCTACTGAGCCGACCTGTGACAGTCTCATTGTCACAGGTCGGCTAGAACTATGAGGTGAGTGAAAAGCCCTCACATCATAGTTCTCCTTTAAATTACATTTTGAAGAGCTAATATGCTAATTAGGTTCTTCTTAGGTTCTTCTTCTAATAGGTTCGCCTGCTAGAATGACTTCACAGAAAGAAGGTATTGGAACTAATTGTTGCTCTCTGGATCCTTGGAGCATCTTGTTGTGGAACATAGAGACAGTTAAGTATGGTATATACTGTTAAATGTTTTTGTTCAACTAGTGGGCCGAACAAAGAAATATAACAGATTCCTCGATCCACACTAAACAGCATGGATGGGCAAATCTCCCGCTGCGAGCTCTGTGTTCTGACAGTGGCATTGGCCACAGTGAGAATACCCGAATGGTCTTGCAGCTTATTAAAAGCCTTCTGTAACACTTCTCTTCTAAATAAACTTTTAAAACCTTTATCATAAGCAGAGGGAAGTTGCTGATTTTCTTATAGATAGGAAAGAGAGAGACAGAAACATTGAAACAGAAAAGGTAATGGCAGGAGGGAGAGAGAGAGAGAGAGAGAGAGAGAGAGAGAGAGAGAGAGAGAGACAGAGAGACAGAGAGAGAGACAGAGATAGAGAGAGAGAGAGAGAGAGAGAGAGACTGAGAGAGAGAGAGAGAGAAGAAGAAGAACAAGAAGAACAAAAAGAAGAAATAGAGAAGAGATAAGATACAGACACAAAATAGAGAGTAGGAGATAAATAAGCGATAGAAAGGCGAAAAAGGGTAAGAGATAGAGAGAAGAGAGAGAAGAGAGAAAGAAGAGACAGATCAGGGATGGAAGAGATAAAGAAATATAGAAGAGATAGAGCGAAGGGATAGAGAGAAGAGAAAATATAGAGACGATATAAAGAGAAAAGACAGACGAGAGAGAGAAGAGATAGAGACGAGTGATAGAGAGAAGAGATAGAGAAGAGAAAAGAGAGAGAGAAGAGACAGAGAGAGAAGAGAGAGAGAGAGAGAGTAAACAGAGAGAAGAGATAAAGAAGAAGGAGAAAATAGACCAAAAAGGAAATGAGGGAGAAGAGATACAAAGGAAAAAGAAAGCAAACACAAATGTAAGGAAACAGAGAGAGAGAAAAAGATAGAGATAGAGAGTAAGAGAGAGTAAAGTTAGGGAGAGAAGAGATAGAAAACACATAGAGAAAAGATAGAGTGGATAGAGAGAGGACACATAGAAGAGATAGAGAAGAGGGAGTGAGGAGAGAGAGAGGAGAGAGAAGAGATGACAGAGATAGGAAATAGATGAGGAGCAAGGGATAGTATGGAAAGAAAAGACCAAAAAGGAAATGCGGGAGAAGAGATACAAAGGAAAGAGAAAGAGGAGAGAAAGCAAAGACAAACGTAAGGAAACAGAGAGAGAGAGAAAGAAGGAAGACATGAGAGAGAAAGAAAAAACACAGAGGCAGAATAGATTGTGAGGAAGGAAGGATGGTTACCTATTTTCTGGAAAGTTTTACAATTAAACATGCAATAACCCCCCTTCCTTCTGCAAATTACCTAAGTCCTAGTTTTTATACATTGGCCCTGTCTGTGTCACAAATCTGATATGAATGTTGAAAACAGTTACTTACTTGCCCAATGCAAAACATTCCAATTTAACCGTAGACCCCTTTGCTGCAATTACAGACTCTGGAAAATGGACCTCGATTTTGGGCTCGTACTCTCCCATGATACCTGGGTGACAAAAGACGACAGTAAGTAGATGGGCAGGTGGGATATTTATTGACTTTGTACAGCAGAAATAAGAAGAGTCAAATAAGTGATCAACCAATGCGTTTCAAGGAAAAAAATCCTTCTTCAGGGATTATGCGTGTAATTCGTTATTGGAAACCATGCAAAAAAATACCATTTTTTTTTCCGTTAAGCTGAGCTCAGTGTATCCTCATGAGATGACTGAGGATCATCTTTACCAAAAATGTATATATATATATATATATACCCTAGTGTGGTTGCTGGCAAGTTGAATTGCATGCTGGCTTCTGATCAAGGACTCCATTTACAAGATGTCCTGCACAGAGCCCTGACCTCAACCTTACTAAAAACTTTTGGGAGGATTTAGAACTCTGATTGCGAGCCAGGTCTTCTCATCCAACATCAGCACCTGACCTCACAAATGAGCACAAATTGCCACAGGCGCTCTCCAAAATCTTGTGGAAAGTCTTCCCAGAAGAGCAGAGGCATGAGACCTCAGAGGAGGTCAGCAAGAGACCTTAAGAGATCCTTTTAAAAAAAAAACTTTAGCGTACAGATGTACTTTAATCAACAATTTCCATTCATATATTCAAACTACCTTTCCTGTAAGAAAGACGGGTGACCTTGTGTTATTTTACCGAGGAAGAAACTGGAGAAGATTGTTTTCCTGTGACCTTGTGCGGTCATGTTCTTTGCATGTACCTGTTTTCCATTTTCAATAAATCCAGGATAAATAATTAATTCATGGACATGAGGAGATGCTGCGGACTGCTGAACCAGGTGATTGGACTTCTCAAGAAAAGATAATGGGAAGATAAAGCAGGGAAGTGCAATGAACAACAATAATTATGTCCAGTATGCAGAAAGGCTGACCACAGGCAAACAGATACTTCCAGAGAGTGATGGTCAGGAATTGTAGGTCACTACTTTAACCAGCTGAGGAACCTGCCTCAATCTTCATATCAGTCTAACTTGTACAATTATATTTGCTTATTAACCCTAAAGAAGGGAGCCCAGATCCCTGAAACCTGTCATCCTCCTTCTGTTTCTCCTCTGAGGCAGTTATCACCAGAACAGGTGGCCCCACTAGAAGATTCTTCCTCACTACATGTTCCAATGACAACTGTAACATTTGATTTCTGTGATGATGAAAATGGTTACCAGGATCACTCTAGAGCAATGGTTCTCAACTGTGTAACCTCAGGACCCACATTTGTCCTTTGTCATTAAGTCACGACCCAAGTCACACCGCACTGGAACGCATGGCATTGCGGTACCGCACATTCTGGTGCGGACGATCCAGTAGTAGGCAGGTGGTGCATTTGGGGTGCCATTCAACTGGATGCCAGCGCAAGTCACCTCTCGCACCAGAATGCGCAGTAGGTGCGATTGCATGGTACAGTTCTTTAATTACATGGGACAGTTCGAATAACGAACTGTACTAGTGTGGACGGGTCCTCAAAAACACTGGCAGACACACACAACCGCAAACACAATCTCACAGACATCCTCACACAGAACTGGAGTGCATCCTCAGCCTGGGGTCCGGTGTGGGCTACTGTGCTGTGACGGAACTACATCCATACGTGCATTGCTTGTACAGCTCACTTGCGTGCCCTGTAGAGGTCCCGGGAGCCAGAATGTAACATCACTCCGGTCCAGGCACCTCTACAGGTCATGTGATGGAACTGTAAGCAATGCATATATGGATGGAGCTCCCTCATGCCTTACCCCCCAGCCCACCTCACCTCAAGCTGACACTCGGCGCCAGGCAGCATATTTTGAATGGCTGCTCAGCACAAGAACTGACAGTGGTGCACTAGGGAGAGGCTGGGGAGACTCTCACTTAGTGCAGTGGAAGGCACACGGAGACCAACTGAACACAGTAGAAGTGATTTGTTTCTGAAGATACGGGGAAACAACGCGATTTAACAGCCTTTGAACGTGGGATGATTGTTGGCGCTCGGAGCCATGGAGCGAGTATCAGCAAAACAGCAGAATTCGTTAAATGTTCAAGAGCAGCTGTTGTTAAAGTGTTTAAAAACCGGACTGTCAGCCGAAAATCTGGGTCTGAACATGAGAATTGTGGCCGTCAGCGACTAGTCAATGTTAGGGCAGAACGGGGGAGGGACAAGACTGGTACAAGACAACAGAAGGGCAACAGTGCCGTGTCAGATTCCTCGCATCACCTTTCACCATCTCGTGGAGTCACAAGGCGGCCCAACGAAGTTCTGATGGGGGGCTCATAATAATCTGGCCACTCAGTGTATACAGTACATGAAGATGTTTTTATACTCGATCAGATTTCAGCGGTAACACTTCATGGCGGTCGGGAGCTCACTCACCGTCGGTACGAAGGGTAAGCGGCGTGCTGGGGCCCAGCTCCCGCGTGTTGGTCACCGTGTTTGTCACAACACAAGTATAATTTCCGGCATCAGAAGGCTCCACTTTGGCGATGTAGAGGTTTCCCGTGACCTGGGACACAAACCTGCGGTTGTCCTGCTGCACGAATGGCGGGTACTCATTAAAGATCCAGGCATAAACCAGCTCTGAAAAGAGTAAAGAATAAGCCCAAATCAGCACTCAGTACAGAACCATCACCCCAAAGTCAAAAAATGCCTGAATCCCCTCTACTGACTTATCCAATACAGAAACAGAAGGAGCACAATCAACAGCAGCCAACCAGATAACCAATGGAAGGAGAATTGTAATAGGATACTCTGGGTCATCGCACTTTACACATTGTAACCTTTTATATTTTTGCACAAGTACTGTATCTAATCCAACATTTGTTTGATAAAAGAACCGATAGTTCCTTTGCTTAGTTCCCGTATTTCTAAGACAAGATAGATGTTAACTTTTAACAGCAGCTTGTAGGCAAAAGTCAAACAATTCTCACAGAAGGTGACTGAACTTTTTACGGGCCCTCCTGCCTTCCTATTGGTGACCCCTCTGTAGCTTCACCCAACAGGACACCAACCAACCCCTGACGATAATTAGGTTCCAGTCACTTAGTCTTTTCTGTGGTTTATTTGCGCAATAACTCTTGGTTAAAGGGTTATGGGCACAAGATACCCCACTCCCTCCCAAAAAAGGTCTTCAAGTAACAGCAAATTGATGGTGGCAGCCTTCCACTAAGAGCGAGCAAAGTTGCTGGTGGCTACAATATTTCAATAGCGGCCTCCCAATGGTAGATTGGCCCCTTGACTCTATTTAGCAGTTCAGTCACAGGTACCTTGAATAGTTGAGCAACAGAAATCCCCATGCCGTGTCCTCCAGCATCAGCTTCTCCCTGGCTCTCTACTATACCATAAGGTGCAGCCTTCAGAAGATGCTCCCTATGGGTAGCCACCCTTCTGTTTCTGTAGGCCTCTGCCACAAGCCAGCTTTAGACTCCTCAGGCCCCCAAGAGAATAAGCTCTGTCTTCTTTAGGTCTAGGTTCAGGGCCCCTACAAAATCCTCCTTCACTCTGGCTTCCTCTCCCATGCAAAGACCAAAGGAGGCAAAGGCAAGGACCCTTCACGTTGGCATCCACTCCAGGATCCTGGCATGGAAGACCCTTCTACAAGGTCACTCCAAATCTTTATCCCCCTTCTCTCAGCTCACATCACTGAAATAAACCCTTCCGTGATTGGCCAAAGCAAAATAAATAATTATAGCCCAATACGTTGTATCTTCTCACTCTATTGGAGAACACTCAACAGACGGAGACCATCAATTTGCTGGAGAAACCTTATGAGCACCGATGACACAGACTGGCTATAGCCTAGCTGCATACATTAAATATAGTTAGGGACACTCCAGAGTCCCTACAGATGGAATAAAAGGGTTATAGGATGTTTTCATTGCTGATCCCCCCCCCCATTCCCCCCACCCCCCCGAAGTGACGTACCTCCAGAATGAGGGGGTGGACCGCACAGCAGCACCATGCCCTGACCCTCGCGCACAGACACCGTGCTCCTGGTCCTGGTCTGGAATGAATCGAGATCTGTGGGAAAGATGGAATATTTGATGCCTGATAAACTTACTAAGGCAATAGTTCAAAGAGCATATTAACCCTAAATCTACTGTCCTGAATGTTTTGTATCTTCCCTCGCTTCTTAAACAAATATGTTTATGACTCTGTTACAAAGTTTCTTCCCTGGAGATCCTGCCAGTAACAGCACTTCTTGTTGCAGGCTGACAACACTAAGGCACTGCACTTAGCAGCAGTGTTGTCAGCCTGCCATGTGCCCTTCTTCATTTAGCCACTGGGCTGCTTTTAAGGTAGAGAGCCACAGGGATAAATAAGGGAGCTTGTACGGTAAGTTGACAACACCGCTGCTAATTGACAGGCAGCGGCTCAGCGTTGGCAGCCACCAACAGGAAGTGCTGCTACTGGCAGGGTCTGCAGGTAAGAAACTTTGTAAGATTCATAAAAACATATTTTCTCAAGAAAATTATATACAGTGAGACCTGATGCCAGACATATGCACCTTAAACTGCTCGATTTTGAATGATAATTGCTTCTGACTCAAACAATGTTGCATTCAGAAGGTGCACAGTAAAATATTTTATTGAACATCATACAGAATGTGACACAAGGATAACAGCCAACAAAATATTTGGCTTTTCCTTCAGACCTACAAGATACACCTAAGGTTCTGGCATAGGCTGTAATCATTTCCCACCTTGGCTACATTAACATTATGCTGTGCTGACCTCCACTACATAGCATCCCCCCGCCCCCCGTTCCCACCACCACCACCACCATCTCCAGTATCCTGAATGCTGCCAATCAGCTCATAGTCCTCCCCTCCAGTCCCTCCAGTTCTTCTCTTATCTGTACCAGCTGCTTGCCACCCACAGGAATCCATCCGAAAACCAAATTCTAAACTCTCAAGTCCTGCACAGTCTGGTGCCTCCTTATATCTTCTCTCCATCTCCAGATACACATCCATCTGGAACTTTTGTAGCTCTTCTCATGAACTTTTCTCTTCCTCCCTACTATTTATCAATCCAAGACACCTCATGTGCCCTGACCATTAGAGTGTAAGCTCCTCTGGTGCAGAGACTGATGTGAATGGTTCAGTGTCTGTCTGATGTACAGAACTGTGGTAAATGTCAGAGATATATAAAGGTATAATAATAGTGTGTGACTGTGGGGGGGACATTAGAGCGTAAGCTCCTCTGGTGCAGAGACTGATGTGACTGTGGGGGGACATTCGAGCGTAAGCTCCTCTGGTGCAGAGACTGATGTGACTGTGGGGGGAGGGGACATTAGAGTGTAAGCTCCTCTGTACAGAGACTGATGTGACTGTGGGGG